GGGGGGGGGGGATGGTTGTACCCCAGTAGTCATGCCGATGTGTAAAGGGGCTGTAATAACTGTGATCTCTAACAGTCTCCTGTGACATGTCTATGTGTCTCTCTCCTATGATGTCTGCAATGTCTGAACATTCCCCTCAAGTAATTGTTTTCTCCGACAGTCCTCTCTAACATTACATTATAGTGAATATAATGTGTGGCCCTTTGGTGATGTCAGGGGCCACAGTGGAGTCCCTTCCCATGTAAGATATTACTCTTCATGTCATATACAGGGCAGTAAAGAGCCGGGAACATCTGCAGAAGATTTATTTATGGGAAAGTCACATGACAACATAACTGAGATATATATATATATATATTCCCTATATAACTGAGCAGCTGGAATACTGGACACGCCCACCGCCACACACTGTCCAATCACAATCTGAGCATTCATCCACCCAATACACAACACGATCATCCAAATCAAACAATACACCAGAAGTGACATCGGATGTGGACACCATGAGGGGGGGGGGGGGATTCTAGAAGATGCCAGAAATGGTCAGGACACATGCAGCCTACAAACTCCAAGTGTACACGGCTCGGAGCTTATTCCATCAATAAATAGCAGAAGCGGACATATAAATGATATTATGTCCAGATTTATAGAATCCCCCCCCTTCTGGGTCCGGCCTGTTTGTAGAGGGAACTCTAGAACAAAAGAAATGCATACAGATTCCTTCACTTCCACCGGTGCTGCACTGGGGACTGGGGCTCATAATTCCGGGGCAGTGAAATTCACCTGCAATGACCCCAATGAGGTAACATGACACCACGCATCAAATGGGCAACACTCTCTTTACTGCCCATAGCAACCACAGTCTGCCATGAATGTCAGATTGCTAGGGGCAACGCAGACAGTCCTACTACACGGCATTATAGACCCTGGACTACAAAGCGGCCCCCTGTGCTCTATACTGAGCTCAGTGTTTGACATGTTTAGGACACTGGAAGAAAACTAATTCCACAAAAGGTTCCAATCACATTCTTCGACAAGGTTTGTATAGCGTGTGTCATGGCTGAAGATTCTTATTCCCCTGTAATGTGGGGAAGACATTCTTCTACGCACACAAGGCCCTCCATACTACAATTCATACCAAGCCTCTACCTGATCTACAAGAATCTACCACCAAATGACAGAACTCTAGAAATGTCCTGGAAGTGGGACACCAGCAGCCCAATCTCAGACAAGACCCACGACTCCTGAGAACCCCCTGAAACACCCACCCCCTGCTCACCACCAGTCCCGACGCACACGCTGCTCAGGAGCTGTGTACAGAGAAGCCTTCCTCCTGGATGAACTCCTCCAGAACGGTCACCACGCTGCTGGCCTCCGGCATCTCAGCGTGTTCCACCTTCACCATCTGTAACAAGAGGTCGCCATTGCCACAATTCTTCAGGAAGTTGTAACAGCGGAAGAGGGCATGGTGGCTGCTCTCCGCCTGCCGGATCAGCCGCTTCAGGTTGTTCATGTCCTGGATGGCCTGTAAGAGGGACACACATCATATGGATGGAAGAACTCCGCTCACATGGTTATAAAACAAGCTGCTGAAATCATCACATACGGGACTTTATCACCTTCCCCTCCTGTAGAGGAGAGGATCCAGAGAGAAAAGCAAATAGCAGAACCGCATACACAACATTGTGCTCCCTGACATCACAATGAAAGTGTTGGGGGGGTCACATCATGAAGCTACAAATCTCTGCACCCTGTGTGGTGTTATGGTGCACCATGTGTGTGCGCTGCCTATGCAATAGACTAAGCAGTGTTCCAGGCAGTCCTTAGTGAACCTACTCCCAGATTATCAATGTGTTCAGTGATGTCATAACTGCATGTCCTTCCTGAATACAAAATGCTAGGAAACCAGAGTCCTCCCCCTCCCATGTGTCAGCTTCAACTCAATGCTGATGTCGGTGGCAAAAAAAGATAAAGAATGTTATGCTTACCGCAAAATCTTTTTTTTTTTTTTTAGTCCATTGAGGGACACAGGAATTCTGAAACCATCGGGTTGTGCAGCCACCTGCAGGAGGTTAGGCAAAATTGAAAGCCAGCCACGGTATAACCCCTCCTCTACCCAGCATGCCTCCGTTTTGGCAATGCACGCCACTAGCAAAAAACAGGAGAGGAGTGAGGCCGTGTCCCTCAATGGATTCACAAAAAAGATTAAAGTACAAAGAATTTTTGACTTACTGGTAAAATCCATTTCTTGGAGTACAGTACAGGACACAGGGAGATTCAGAGACGACCGGGTATTATGCAGCTATCATCAGGTGATTGGCCAGAGCTGCGAGGACCCTCATATAACCCCTCAGTTTTTCAGCACGCAATATAGGACATAGAGGAGCAGCTGCTGTACTCCAAGGAATTCATTTTACTGGTAAGTCATTAGCCATTGATGGTACGGGACAGGACAATAGAGCAAAACACCTCCAACTGACCATATGACAGAAACCAGGAGGAAGCCCCACCTCGGACAGCAGCCTGTAGCACCTTTACGGCCAAAACTTGCATCAGTAGAGGCCCAACCATCCAAAGGGTAAAACCTAGAGAATGTGTGAACAGGAGGACCAGCTGGCAGCCTTACAAATCTGCAGAACAGAGACCTGATGCCGAAAAGCTCAAGAGGCACCAACAGATCTAGTAGAATTTGCCTTCACAGGAAAAGAAGGAGCCTTCCCTTTCACAGAACCGGCAGAGCCCAATCACAAGTCTGATCCTCTGGTGGAACGAGACACAGGGAGTCCACTGCGAGGTTCTACAGGATGGACAAAGAGGCTATTGGATTATCTGAAAGAAGCCGGATGACCTGAACCACATCTAAGCAATGGAGGAAAATCATCTTAGGATGTTTTGGAACAAAGATGGAAGGACAATGTACTGACGAAGGTAAAACAAGGAGACCACCTTAGGGAGGGGAAGGGAGAACCTTATGCTTGTGAAGTACCAGGAATGGTTTCTTGCACGAAAGTGCTGCCAACTCTGAAAGCCTTATAGCATGGGTGATGGGGACAACGGGAACCCGCTGGAGAGACGAAAGCACTAGACTGAGATCCATGGTGTCACCAGAGGGTGTCTAGGAGGAGCTACATGACCGATTCCCTGTACAAAGGCCTTTACCAAGGAATGAGAGGCCAAGAGTTACTAAAAATAAAAAGGATGGCCAAGGTCGATATTTGTACCTTGAGAGTACTCAGGGCTAAGTGCTGATCCAATCCTTGAAAAAACACAAGTGGCCGCCTTTCCTGGTGCAGGTCAATTTTAGGACTGCTGTCTGCATACACTTTGCCGTCCTTGGACGCCAGAGATAGTCCGGTATTTGGGCACTGTGATAGGCCGAGTGGCGGTGACACCCTGTAGGCGGAGCCCGATTGTTCAGAGTGGATGCTCACTGCCTGTCAGCTTATTATCCATCTCATGTTTGCGAGTACGTCTTTGCTTCTATCTTATGTTTACTGAAATAAAATTGACCAGCACCAGGAAAGGCGTCCCCTTGTGTTTTTTCATAGATCTACAGCTTTCCCGGCTTTCTTTGGGGCAGCATCCTGCAGTATGCCTAAGAGGAATTCTCATTGAGAAGTGACAGTTTGTGGCGCTTTATTGTTTTTACTTTGCTGATCCAATCCTGCTTGGAGAAAGGTCAAAATTCGTTTCATGGAGTATTTCTGAAGATTAAACTTGCCACCAGACATAGTAAGCTCTAAGTATGGTGGTACACCTTGTGAGAGATGGATTTCCTGGCCTGCAAGAGTGTAGGAATAATGAAGTCAGAAAGACTTCTATCCCTCAGGACCTGGGCCTCAACAGTCAAGCCTTCAAAAACAGAGACCCAGAAGCAGGGTGAAATACCAGGCTTCCATTAAGAGACAAGGAAATTCAAAAATAGTCGGGACATCCAAAAACAGGCCAACTGAGGGGTGGGCAATAGCTACTGACAGAACCGTCTGTAACACAGGACTACCGGAAGGACCAATGCCCAAATCTGACCCAGATGAGTCCCTGCAACAAAGGGAAGTCTGTCGATGACCAGGGGAGGACACAGAGGATCAAAATGACGCTCAGATCAGAAGAGACCAATGCCAATGGAAATTAGTCCACAAGAAGGTACTCTGAACCAGCACCACTTGAACGCAAGACTGGTGGAAAAAGACAACTACCAGATAAGATGAAAAAAAAGAGTCCAACAATGTAACATAGTCAACAAAAAGAACACTGGGATGGAACGCCAGGAAGAACGGTCCCCAGAGGAAATCAAAGACAAAATGGTAGGGACAATGGCCTTAGACTCCCAACCCTTGGAATTTAGGGATGGAAGGTGCCAAGATAACAATGAGGTTGCCTTGCCAGACAACCCTTATTACATGAGATATCCAGGGTAAGTGCCAACCTCCCAGTGTAATATCCCAAGGGATAGCTAAAAAGACCCCCAAGACTTGTAGCGCTCAGTGTGTGCGAGAAGTAACCTTACAAGGGTGGGTAGGAATGAAGGTATACTATAGTCCCAGACTGGTACATGTGAACACCAGACCAGGAGGATGAGGAAAACTCATCACTTAAAAACATGGCGGTGTCTCTGGGGCCCGACAGAGAAACTCTGCATGGCCTGCCTAAAATTATTTGAGAACATGGTTCTAAGAATCGTCTGATCCATCTCTGTCCAGAGAATCATCCACATCTGTGCAGTAGAGGGGCAGAAGACTTTGCTAAAATCCACCTGATAAGGAACAGAACAAAGGAAGGGATCTGGTGAAACGTCCTCAAAAGGCTGAGGGCTGAGAATCAGCTCAGGTGAAGGAACTGACTCGCAGTGGGATCCCTTAAGAGACAGGGACCAACTCCTCTGGGGAGCCAAACTGAAGGTTACCCCAGGGACTTCTTAGTCCACAGGGACTTCTTAGTCCACAGAGACCATGGGGATGCCTTGCCTCAACTTCAGGCTCCCAAATGCCGAGGGGAGGCTGAAAAAGAGCACCAAGAGCCAATGACAGTAGGGGTGGCTATGTCAGGAGAATGTTCCTGTAACACCCTACAACCATCTTAAGGGGAAGAAAGGTGGATTTCCTTGACTGCTGAGGAAGGTTCACTGACCCACAGGGTGTAGACATAGAGGATGTAGACTTCTTTAGCAAGGATTTAAACTGAGCAGCCTCGACAATGGGTGACCAATAGTTACCAACACTAGACACCTTTGAGGCCCCATCATATCAAAGCGTGCAGGTGTTGAGCACCTCAGAAGAACTCTGACTGGGGTCAAAGGTGGACCAATTGTCCAGTGATCAGAGAAATAGCAGATGCTTACAAAGGACACTGAGAAGTCAGGTCCTTGTTGGGAATATTAGTAGTAGAAAGAGGTCCAGAGCAACCTTCCAAATCAGGGGCGCCCCTCTGGACAGGGGGAATGCTGAGGGGAATCAATTTTCATGAGGGGTTCAATAGTGTGAAAGGATGTACAATCCTCCTTAAAAAGGAGGATCATTTTGGATGCGATAAAACTCTTGTGACCAGACATGTTCCCACCTGCACTAAAACAAGGGATCCAGGGTGAAGGGCACCCAGGAAGACCTGGAAAGACACACAGTTGAAAGCAGCCATGCAAAAGCCAACAAACGGAGCACTCAAATGTTGGAGAGGCAAACTACACTCCCAGATTTACATGCAGCCCGCCCACTTATAGAAGTGGGGTCACACATTCATGCAGAAGATCAGTCAAAGGGGTTAGCTGATCTTTGACTTTGGGTTTTATGGCCTAAGTGAGAGTTAGACCCTAAGGGCCTATGATTATTTACATCTGAAGCAAATTAGGTAAAATGGGGGGATTCCTCAACCCGTGCACAGATATCATGTGTTGAGGCAGAAGCACACTCTGCCTCACCCTTCATGGCATTGCAAAGGACTATGTCAACGGCAGGTCCGCAGAGATGAAGTCCCTCAAAATGTAAGCAAATTCCTTGGATGTCTCAGCCATGTCCCATGCAAAACCCTTGTGCACATGCCTTCTCCAAGTAGAAATGTTCCGGCACAATCTCCGGTGGGCCCCAGGACCCTTCAGAGCGTTTCCAGTCTGAATACAATGACTGAAAAAAGCGGGTGTTGCAGAAAGGTCTTTGCAACCATAGGAGCTCGAAAAGACCCGAGGTCTGGAACAGCAGGCTGATCTTCCAGATGCAGGAATACACCGGCCCCCCTGCGGAGGGGAGGGACACGCCGGCCCCCCTGCGGAGGGGAGGGACACGCCGGCCCCCCTGCGGAGGGGAGGGACACGCCGGCCCCCCTGTGGAGGGGAGGGACACGCCGGCCCCCCTGCGGAGGGGAGGGACACGCCGGCCCCCCTGCGGAGGGGAGGGACACGCCGGCCCCCCTGTGGAGGGGAGGAATATATAAAATATATTTTGCTTTTGATGTACGTCAATAAATAGACGTAATCGATTTACTATTGGAGTGCCGGTGTCTATTTCTTTTCTGCTGTACAAGATACATACACTGCGCTGACATATTCCTTCTCCCCGACTCACCCGGAATTCAGTTGGAAAACACAAAAAAAGATAAAGCGCACTCCTGTGGGCAAACTTCAATAGGATGGCTGTTGTTTGTAGGTGTGCAAAGCTCCTCACTACAGGGAGAGGACCCTGTCTATTAGTAAAGATAGCTCATCCCACTTTCTGTCTCCGTTCCTGACCGACGCGGCTCAGCCAGCCGAGAACGCGGGCGGCCACACTGACACGCACCCCCAACAGATCAGCCTCTCATACCACCGGGGACACCACCGGGTCTCTTCGACCCAGGATCTGTCAAAGGAGGGCGCCGCACGGACCACAGAGAAGCTTCCAACCGTAACTCAGCTTGCTCTAACAGTACGGCATACACCCAGATTCTACACACCAAGATCCACCAACATCCCCCATCACATAGATCCACTAGATCGACTCCATTCACGCCACTTCTGGTAGTTGCGCTCCTGTCCTTTGAGTTTTTAACCGGAATTCAGTTACTCACCTTCAGCTTGAAGTTCTCCAGTTTCTGGCGGAACAAGAAGGGGCTACCACCCTCATAGCTGCTGACAAAGAATTGCATCCAGTCCTCGCAGAAGCGATTACTCACTGCAATGACAAAAGCGGGTTAGATGTGGCTCCACAGATGAGGTCATGTAATGCCTTGTACAGTGTGGCAAAGCGCTCAGTGAAAAGTAATTGAACTCAATAAAATCTGATTGAAGTTCTTCCATGTAGATGACAGAGGCACTTCCCTCTCACACACATCTGAGATGATGTGAAGTTACCGTATTTGCCGGCGTATAAGACGGCTGGGCGTATAAGACGACCCCCCACTTTTTGTGTAAAAAGTTGGTAAAAATCAGAAGCCTTCTCCCCCTTTTTGGATAAAGATGGGGAGTGAAAGAGATTTGTCTGATGGCTTGTTGGGCCCAAGCCGACTGGGACTCAGGTGTACCTCTGTCTGTGTTGGGTTTGGTGGAGGAAGACTATGGACGTCGTTTTCTGGAAGTGGAAGCAGTGGCAGAGCCACAAATAATTTTTTGGAGGCTTGGCATCAGACATGCATTTAAGCCACAGCATTCTTCCCAAAGCACAGCTACTTATCTTCTAATGATCAATATTAATAAGCCTAGAACATTATACACTATATTGACAAACGTATTGGGACAGCCCTCCAGATCATGTGATTCAGGTCCTCCAATCCCCTCTATGGCCCCCGGTGTATAGGATGAGGCACCTCGGCATGCAGACGCTTCTACAGACATTGGTGAGAGAACGTGTCGCTCTCAGGAGCTCGGTGACTACAAGCGTGGTGCCGTGATGGGTTGTCACCTCTGCAATAAGTCCGTCCGTGACATTTCCTGGCTACTAAATATTCCGCCGCGGTCGCCTGTTACCGGGATTATAACAAAGTGGAAGCAACCGGGAACACCAGCAACTCAGCCAGGAAGTGGTCGGCCACGTCACATGACAGAGCGAGGTCAGCGCATGCTGAAGCGCACAGTGCGCAGAAGTCCCCAACTGTCTGCAGAGTCAATAGCTGTCTGGCCCCCTACCCACATATAGCTACAACCAGCAGAAGGATCAAACTGATTACATGGCAGCAATGCTGATGACTGCCACAGACAGAAATATCCTTGTTTATGTCACCCTGGTAGACTCAGCATGGAGGCGTAATATTGATATATAGTATATAAAAGTCTGTGCACACAAGAGAGGAAGCCAGGAACCTGCACTTCATACACAGAGAGGACATAGGGAGGTCTCTCACCTGCATTCACCAGCTCCGGGTGACCATCGCTGAAGTCCACAGTGACTGTATGATGCCGACTCTCAGTCATGGCAATACACAGGGATGCCATCGTGCCCTCCTGTACCAGACCCTGCAGACTGGCTGAGGAGAGGAACCTGCAAGACACACAATCAGAGGGAGTGCCAGCAAAGTCAAATACATCTTTTACCCCCC